TGTAAGAAATGCAAAGAGAGCTGAGAGTGTAGATAGTGCTAGATCAGTTCAATTACCTCTGCCCCTTAGAAATCAGGGTCTTAAATACTGATTGTTCTGTCAAATTGGGCGTAACCGCCACTGGCCCTCTAACGTAGCCGTTATTTGCCAGGGCTGCGCAGGTAACCATTGTAGGGTACTAGCCCAATCGAATGTGAGACGTGACCCGGGAAGGACAGACACGTCGCCGCCTGTCGAGAGACGTGGGCACAACCTGCTGGGATGGCAGGTACTGTGCCGTCAATCAGGAAACGTGGGTGCAATCTGATGGGTACGATCTTGTCAGATAAGAAGCTTCCTGGACGCCGCATCGCTTAATAGCGAGCTACCTTGTAGCGAGCTGTTGGGGTGTCCCGAGGTGATTCCGCCTGAAGTCTTCGAGGCGGCCTTACCAAAGGGTTGGAGCGAGCTAATTTTCCAAGTTCGCGAGCTGAAATAGCTTGGAGTGTTCCTCGTCTAGCACACTAGTGAGCTCAAGCTCACTTTGTAGCAAGTTGTTCCGTAGCGAGCTGACCCGTGAGGGTTTCAGCGAGCTCATTACACCGGATTGTAAACAGGTTGTCATGCTGAGCTGTTGCTTATGCTGAGTCATGTCCACATGTCGCCTGCTTAGGAGGTCGGGTCAATTCACCCTCCATCAATAACCTTAATAAAAATGATAAAATATATTAAATTATTTATATGTTAATAGATTAAACATTTTAACTAATATTATCGTATTTATTATCTATCAAATTTACCATTAATTTCAAACACAAAACATTTTAACAAAATCTGAATCAATTCAGGACAGGCAAGAACCCAARCTGATCCAKAATTGTTATGTCAGGTTGGGTCTTTGGGTAGACCCAACCCATTTTACACAAAACATTTTAGCCTCTCTGTTTCCAATGTTGTGGCCACTTGCCAACATTGAGGTTTACATAGACATGGAAGTATGTAAAGCTTTGTGAAAGAACTAAAACAAAAAGGTTCTTTACTCAGAAAAGGAAAAATAAATTTATATACCATTAAAGAGAAAGACTGAGACATACAAATAGGTTTTAACTATATTGAATCTAAAACAAGAGTTCTAGTTATAATAGAATTTTTTAAATTTATAAAAATCTCAGAAATAATAATTAGCTTATAGAGGATCATTTGTACTTGCTATCCTGTTTTAAAATCAAAATGATTCAGCCTCCCCAGTAACCATCCTTTGAACAAATTTTAGGAACATCCTTGAAACTAAGGGTGTCAAATGGACCGGTTTAGGAATAGACCCCGTCCAGTCCAAAAAATTAATTTGGACGGATTGGATGGACCAACAAGATATATTGGATTGGATTAATCCAGCTCAAAATATTTATTAGATTGGATTGGATTTTGTYCGTTTGTAACAAATTTATATTGGATTGGGTTGGATTAAGCCAATATCTGGTCCATTAATATAAGATAAGAATATATGTATCAATGGACTGGGTTTAAGTTGAAACCGATCTAAATTAAAATGAATTTRAACAGATTGGAAGGCCCAGATATAAAATTGGGCTGGTCTAAATTAGTCTAAAACATTTATAAGATTGGATTGGACCTAGTCCATTTATAATGGACTCACATTGGACTGGATCGGATTGATCCAAATCCAGTCCAATTGACACCCCTACTTGAATCCGCTTCTTACCAGTAACCAAAACTGATATTATACTGTTGACAAGTCCAAAACATATTTTTAGTAGAGTCAAGTGGTAACCAAGATTTTTGCAACAGGAAGAAATTTTGTGGCTGATCCAAACAGCACATCAGATAAGCAACCCACAGGATTGGCCATATGTTCAATCCAATGGTCCTACCCTGAATTGCTAGTTTTCACAACTAATATTACCTATTTGAAGTTTTGATTCTTTAGTATAATACCTACCTACAAAAGTAGACTTATTTTGCACACATAGCAAGGTGTTTTGGATTTGATCTTTTCCCAAACTAAGTTGCCACGTGTACAGACTAGCAAACCTACCCCTGCAAAAGGGTTCACTAGTTGGGTTAAACGGTGAGCCTTCTTATATATAAACCAACATATTCCTCTCACATGGAGGAATGCTAAGGCCAACCCAGACAATTCATCTGATAGGGGAGTCACTGGATTAGCCATATGTTCAATTTCATAGCCTATGCATATGGAAATGTTTCAAACACTAGGGCCCATAAAATGGACCAGATCTATGACATATATCTAAGGACAGATTTGAGCCAACCCTAGTCTAAGGATTTATTGGGTATGGGAAACTGGACATGTGGCCATTCCACAAGGCCTCTATCTAGTCAATGATATAGATTGCTTTATCATTTCAGGGTTGGAGTAGGAATAGCCACCTAGCCAAAAAAAAACTACTCCATTATCTAAAGAATAGACTAGAAGACTTAGGAATCTTACACCTCTATTCATTTATTTGCTAGGCAAACTAAGAGACGGCAACGGGGAGGGTAAAGGTGGGATTCAATCCGAAATCAGTGAAAATTATATATCCAAGGAATGTGCCGGAGAAGCATGGGCATAGATAGCCCACAGATCCTCTACCTGGTTTGGATTGGATTGGTTACATCATCTTTCCACTTGACAAATAATAATTATAACCCACTCGTCATTTACCTTTTTAATGCTTAGGAGTGTCAAGCTATTCGAAAATTTGATTTCAAATTCAAAATCAATATAATCATATCGAATTCGGATATGAACTGGTTCTATTTGATAAATATTTAAATTCAACCGATTATTTAATTAATTAATTCTCATATATAATATATAAAATATTTAAATATTTTATATGTAATAATTAAATTATATAAATAGTTTATATATTTATATACTTTATCTAAATAAATTATTTATTTTATATATTTAATAATTACTTAAAAATAATTAATCGGATAAATTTGAATCGAACTGAATATTAATTCAAATATTTGATCAAATTCGAATTCGAACATTGATTTTCAATATCCGTTGGATATGGAATTTTCTAATCGGACTTAATTCAGATATTATCTGATTTGTTTCGAATTCGATACATTTACACCCTATTATTGATGATAACTCAGAGATATAGTTTGGTTATATATATACCTTGTCTCTCCAAGGAACTTATATCCAATACCTCTTTGCTATAGATAAATGCAATAGACAATTATATATTTAGGTCCTGATTTGTCCTCGACGAATTTGCTCATCCAATTTAGTACTATATTTTCTCCACCGATAATCTTAGGCAACATTTTTGTATTAATATAATAACTTATGTTTATTAGGCCCCAATCGCTTTTCGGTAAGTTACTTACCCGGATAAGTGCAATTACTTGGGTAAGTTTTTCTAAGAAACACTTAGCAAAGTAAGTGCATTTACCTATATTATTTTATTTCTTAGGTAAATAAGGCAATGACCATTTTAGTCATAGAAATCTATTATTAAAAGTGACATTTTTGTCCCATTCAAGTGCTGGCAACTTTCTCCTTACGTGGGAAAGTTATTTACCCACCTATGAGCTGAGTTTGGAAAGAATATAAATACAAATATTTAAAGTACAAAACCTTATATTTTGTATGTATTTGTACTTGTAAATAATTGAATTTATAATCCATAGATTTTAAAATCCACCATTTTGTTATACCTTATATATAGTGGATAACTATAACTAAATTCTAAAAAGAGAGAGAGAGAGAGAGGTGCTATCATTGGGCAGTAAACTCTCAACGATCATGGTTGGCTGCTCTCACATGAAGCTGTTATTTCGTTTCTTATTCTGTTTTTCCCATCGAGAGCAACACTTTGTTATCTTCTTCATTTCGTAACTTTCTCGATATTGAAAGGTTTCATTTCTCATGTCTGCATCAATGTCCTATCCACAATTGGATGGTAATGAAAATTGAAACGCAAGAAATCCAAAGAAAACCTATGAGATGTAGGTCTTGGTTTTATATGACATCACTCGGCAGCTCGCACACCCATTTAGGTCGGCTATCCCAATGTCCGTCAGACCATCAGGGTGTGTTTGGATGGTACAGATGATTATTCTTATGGCTATATATGGCAGGTACCCCTTGTCAAAAAAAGAAATTAAAAATAAACAAAGAAATTGCTTTGCATGGAGATTTCAACCAAATTTTAATTCACCATAAAATACCAACGTCAAACAATTAATATTATAGAAACAAAAAAAAAGAAAAAGAGAAAAAAAAACTTATATACAGATGAGAAGTGAAAATAATTATGTAATTAGTAGAAAAACAAAAAATGAATATATTTTAGAATTTTCATAAAAAATTATTAAGAATTTTTCCTCAGTTTTATGTGTTTCTCAACATGACTTTTAAGTCTAAAATCTCTCAAAACAAAAACAGAATTTCTAAACCAAGATGATGTTTGGTATCGTGGGTGTTTTTCTAAAAAACGGAGTCACATCGGATCAATATAGGCGATTCCACTTTTCACCACCTACATGACTGTTTGGTTCAAGCAATTTTTGAAAAAAAAAACGATGAAAAATGGGCATGCATCATAAATTTAACGTTCCATGCATCAGTGAACTATTGCCCCCAACGGCTATATGATGTGACACTTACGTGTGTCCTAATTGTCACCATCATACGGAATAATGTATGCACATACATAAAAAACGGTGATGGAAATCACCCTACCAAATAGCATTAATGTTGTTTATTGCCTACTGACTGAAACACTACCAAACATATGAATGGAAGGTGCTTATTTATGAAAAACGGTTTTAGCAAGCATGGACGTTTTTTTTTTTTGAAAATCAGTCCCAAAAAACACTCATACTTCCGAACACCATCCAAGTTATTTGAATCGATGTGAGTCGACTTAGACAAATTCCATTTAAGCCAAACGAGATTTAATTAGAACATAACCAAGTTAAATTAACATGAGCAAGACTAAATGTTGGCACAAACATGAAAACCCCACGACTAAAGCAACTTATTGGAGATTCTCCTTGTATTTACTCTAAAACAAGGTACACAAAAACAAAAAACTCTTCATGATTCCTCCATTTAAATTAGACCCACTAGGAAGCTAATTAAGCACTACATGAGAGAGAGAGAGAGAGAGTAGTGATCAGAAGTAGGTACTAATAGTTAGGTGGTTTGTTAGATAGAAACCACTGTGTGAAGTTTTGGAGTGTTTTAAGGTCGGCTCTGTAGTGTTTCTGTGTAAACTCCAGCAAATCCGACCATGTGAAGTCGGGATACTTTCTTGGTCCCTCTCTCCCCACCAGATCTTGTGGGGGTATCACCACCTTGTCTTCTTTCGGGCACAGGAAGAATGCTAGCGATCTCCTCTCCCTGTACCTGTTCACTACCGCCCTATGTTGACAACTCTTGTACCTTCCGTTGGATAAGGCCTGCATATCAAACAAACAAACGGAACTTAATTATTTAACAAACACTACATACCCAATGAAATGTCGTCAGACCAACCCTTGGCCCATTCTCCTTTTGGACCATTGCAGATATATCCCATGACCCCATTTCGAAAAACAGCCCAATTTGGTCGACCCATTTGATTACATGCAGGAATTCATCAAGAGATAAGAAGCTAAAAAGTGAGAACCCACCATGAAGGTATCACCAATGTTGATAACGAATGCATCGCTTCGAGGTCGAACAGTTTGCCATTTGTTCTGTGCCAACACTTCCAGGCCTCCCACTTGGTCCTGATGAAGGATGGTTAGAGAAGTAGGATCGCAGTGAGGGCCGGTGCCCAGAGTGAGACCAGGCTCCTCACATGGCGGATAGTAGTTACATCTCATTATAGAGCTGCTGTCTTCGAAGAATCTCCGGAAATGAAACCGATCTATTCCCAAGCTAATGGCCAAGAGTTCCATAATCACTAGAGATAGTTCCTTCATTGCTTCACAATATCTTTGGTAAACCAATCTGCAAAAGATCAAAATCCATTTGCTGCTTCTATGAGTTTAATCCGTGGTAGTGCAATTGCGAATTCATGCATTTATGTTAAAGGTTAATTGTAATTGATTCTTACCCTGTCTGTTTGAATTCTTCCCCTAAGACGGACTGGAAGTAATCGACCACCACGGCGGAGTCACAGCTCCGGTCATCAAACCCAAAAGAGAGCGTCTCCTTCCATGGCAATCTGGATGAGAACCGATCGGCATGGGAGCCGGAGTAACCCCACATACTACCAGCCTTCCTCCGACCCCTGAGCTTCTGGCCGATGGGTAGCTTGAAGAAAGCGTCTAAGTGATCATGGGCTTCGGCAATGAGACAGGCGTCAACACCATGGTTTGTCACCTGGAAGAATCCATGGCTCAAACAGGCAGTCCTAACAAGCTCTGCGGCCTCCTTTATAGCCTCCTCGTCGCCGTTGAGGAAGCCTCGGAGGTCTACTAGAGGCTCTCTGAGCTCTTCCTGACAGTAAACCAATTCCCCTTGTGGCCAGACGAACTCTGTAGGTATCTTGGACTGTTTTTGCAACAAATTAGACGAGTCAAAAACCACTCCTCCATTATCCCTCTCAACCTTGAGCTCTAATGGAGGGCATAAGAGAAGGGTAGAGGCTGATGAATCCATTAGCAGGAGAGACACAATTCAAAAGAGTTGGGACCAAGGAAGATATTTATAGAGATCCAAGAGTGAAAAATAAAAGAAAAAAGAAATGATAGATAAAGATACGCCAAGATGAGTTTGTGTTTTTCTCACCACACTGCTCTGATACATAAAGATGAAAAGAAGCCCAACGTGAGTGAATGTATCTCAAAAGTCAAGATGGGATGGAAATAATTCTGTCTTGTATTCTATWAAGAATACAGTTCACAATAAAAAATGAATCCCTTAATCAGTGAGATTCCATCATCAATACAGAATAATAACTTTACAAATATAGATAATTCCAAACTAAAAAAAAAATATAAACAAAACTATGTTACAACATAATCTTTTGGCTATGAGTAGAATTATTTTTTATTGCCTTATATATATACATATATATGACCATCAATTAGGCCTTTCATGGCTSGACCGAAGGTTTAAAATTTCACAACGTATCATATATAATATTGGTTTTTTGAACTAGTAAGTTCTAATTATTCTGTCTAATGGCTTTAAACATTAATGTCCACCCTTAATTATATATTATTTGTAAATTTATCAAATTAAAAATATGAAAAAAAAGTAGAGTATCGATTGTTAAAAATTCTTGATATGTAATTTTTGTATTTCCACGGTATCGATACTTTGAACCCTGGTCAGACCAAACTAGGCCTTTGGTCTAATCCCTAGACCAGTTTGAAAGGGAGTGATAGAGAGAATATATGCCAAAAAATTGTCTTCTAACATAGATTTTTTTTTTTTTTCTTTCTGAATTTAAAACTTCTCAACATTTGTAAATTAAGTTGTTATTCTGTTTAAACTGAATCCCACTGATTTAGGGATTCATTCTTACYGTAAAGTACAATATAGAACTCTCTCCATCTCGTTTTGAGGGAGATAGACATCCACTCACGTTTGGCCTATTTTATCTTTATTGGAATTCTATTAATTTCCTGAATCTTGGCATATATTCTCTATCCAAGAAGATTACAACTGAACAATAAAGAACAAAACATAAAGAATAAATCCTTATTGGCTGTTTAGAATGGGAGAGAGTAAATGAAATGGAGGGAATTCAATGCGTAAGGCCAAGATTGATCATTGGCGAGGTTGAAGAGAAGGTTGAAATGTGGCTAATTAATTAGAAGCGACGACTGAGACGAGTGACGACTCTTAACCAATTGGTCATTTTCGTATAGACTATTACGTCATAAAGCAACATCACCCCTTGCCTCTTGATTCTCTTCTATCACCATCCCCTTTTGTCCTTCTTCACAATTTGCCAAGGAATCATGTACGTATAATTACATCCTCTGTATTCTCCTTTGATTATTAATTTTTGGGATTCCCCCTCAGAAATTACAATCACCTTCTAATCTATTAGTAGTTTCCCTTATAAATCGCTTTCTATCCGTGAATTTGACATCACTCTACCCCTTGAAACCCTTTGAAACAAAATCCTGTGAATTTGGCATCAATCCCTTTATTGCAGTAYAATTTTATTTACACTAGTACAACTGCATGGGAGTGCAMATCTCGATTTAATTTTGTTTTAGATTTTATTTTATTCTAATTTATGTCTTATTTTACTTCATTTGTGCTGCAATCAAATAAAAAGGTAAAATTTGAAACAAAAATAAATTAAAATTTACACACCATAATTTTGCATCAATGCAAAAAACTTCGCACTACATCCAAACACAACCATGAATGGACTTCACTATACAAAATGCTGCAATTACTTGGTGCTAGTGCTTCAAATGAAGACGATTGTAAAACCCATTTCCCACTTGTTCTTGCAAGCCATAGATAACTGTGTCGGCTCAAGAGCTATGTAAAACCAAAATGAAATGATCACATTTGTAATATATGACACCCAAACAAGCTATTAAGGAATATTTTGATCAGGGTCGTGCAATATTCGATTGACCCACCTTAATTTAAGAGCAATATTCAGCAATTACTGAAAATGTTTCAGGAGAAGATACCACTTAAGAAGGCTTAACTTTTCATCACCGTAGTCCTTAGTTAAGTTGAAGTTGAGAGAAAATATATATAGCTCAAAAAAGTACTTTTGTTTTTTTCCAACTTCACCTTTCCTCGAGGGAGCATGGGACCATTGACTGGCAGAAAACACAGCTACGTCACCCCTTTACATGTAAGGTTTAAGATTCATACATGAATGATGATTGGCTTTATTATCCACCCTAGGATGGATGGAGCCAAAGGTTTTCTCTTGGGAGAAAGACGGTCCAGCCCAGGGTCTGAATTTATAGGCACAGAGTACTGTTAGGATAGATGACAGCTCGAAATTGATGTTAATTTACGGGCAGGCGTTGGTGCATAGAGTGTGAGTTGTTGCCATTTTGAATATTTATARCTCTGCAATAGAAATCAGAAATCTGTATTGGGACTGTCCATACTTCTCCATTTTTTCTTTTGTCATTTTCTCTCTCTTCATTTTCAAATAAAAGGCCATTACACAATGATGGTCCAAAATATATATCTGATCCTCTACGCATGTTAAAATATTCGATTCGAACCAACCTCTTGGCCCTTTTTTTTCATAAAATGACGGCTCTTGTAATCAAATGTGTATTGTCCACCTTTCAGAAAGTGTCAATTGGCTCGTTGATAAAGTCTTTAGCTGGTTGTAGTGGAGACTTTGGAATTGCATCCCGCCTTCATCAGAATTACGGGGTTATGATTTTGGGGATGGGCTACCACCATTTTGCAATCCTAATTCTCAACCTTTATATTGCTCATTCTAGAAAGAAAATTAGAGTGGACTTGAAGTTCAAGTCAGCCAAAGTAGAATCCCTAAAACCAATGACCCAATAGTTGAGATAGAAATAAGGTCAGTAACATGCACCTTGCTCTATCCCCACCCCTCAATACCTATAATATAAAGTATATATATAGTATGTAATACCAAAAAAAATGTCATTTGATAAAGCATCTCCTATAGTTTCATATCTTTATTAAAACCTACCCTATATAGTTTGTAGTTTAATAAAACACCCTTATAAGTTGTAACCATTTTACTTAATAAACCATCTATTAGTTGAAATTGTAAAATGATGGCTTTATCATTAGCATCCATTCGAACAAATTTAATCAAACGAAAATAAAAATGAAAATATTGTTTTCCACCTTGGTAAAATACTAGCAAATTCTTTTGCCACATCAACAAAAAGATGAAGGAAAGGCATGACATTGAGGAGAAATCACCACGATGAACATAAATTTGTTAAACATTTTTCACTTCTCATTTAATTTAGGTGTAATGTGACTATTTCGATGAATGCAAATGATGCTTAACAAAAGGTCAATTAAGTAAATAGGTTGCCAATTAAATATGAGATGCTTTAATAAAACACAAACTATAGGGTAGGTTTTATTAAATAGGTATTTTAATAAATGACTAAAATAAGACTTTCAGAGAGAACACATATGCTGTGAGTCTGTGACTAAGAATGGCAATTTATACCTTACCCAGTGGGCATCCACCCCTACCCGCCCTGACAGAGCTGGATTTTTTTTTTGAACGGAAGGTTTTGGGGTGAGGATGGATTTTGGGATTCTACGACCCATACAGATACGAGTAGGCGGGTACGGTATTAAGTTAAACCCGACCCTCCCCAACCCATATATTGTTGGAAAGCATATAAACTTTATGTATTAGGTGTTGAATTTAATAATATTTTGAGTTTTATGTGAATGACAATTGATAGTTTATGTGTTTTGTGCATGTGTTAATCAAATAATTGAAAATTTCGTTATTTGTTTGTGACCTTGTGTTATTTTACTTATTGCTTATATATAACAAGAAATAATTGGAAATTAGATACCCCTACCTTTGAACGTGGGAGGGTAGGGTCGGGGAGGGTTTTGCATTTTCATGTGCAACAAGGAGGGTTTGGATTGTCAAAATCCAATCCACAATGGGTTTTGAGATAGGTACGGATAGGAAGTTTAAGGAGATAGGTAGGGTCTAAAATTTACAAAACCCTTTCCGAACCCACCCCGTTGCCATCCCTACCTGTGACCTTTCCACCCCAAAGAAATAATTTAAAACATTGTTGATATGTACATGTTTCATTGGGGGATTTAAGGGAGTGCTGGAACCATAGTTGCAGCAGATGTGAGCTTGACTTTCAGTCCCCTGTTAGCCATAAGAAAAAATGAATTGAGTTATGACAAAAGCTAGAGACAACATTAAAAATTATGAAAACAACATCAACCATATAAAACAATTTGAGTGAAGGCACTTCTATCTTGTTGTCATGAATAATGAAAAAAGAGTCATTTTCACCAAATAAGGAAGGGCACTCGATTCCAAACTCATTTTTACTAGGCAGCTAATGGTATGTTTCACAAAGTTACAGAGAGGAGACACCAGAAAATCCAAAAATAACTTAGAAGCATCAGCAGCAAATCTGTCTCAGTCCATCTCCAAATTAATCAATCTATGCCAGTTCTATTTAGGGCTCTAGTAGCATGATCATATAATAAAAGTGAAAAAAGAAAAAAACAAGGCAGCTGCAAGTCATTTCCAAGCTTTAAGCCAGTCAATTCTCAATATGCAACTGGAGAGGTACCAAGTGGTAATTTTCACAAAACCTCAAATTTTCAAAACATTAAGGTGCTCCCTATGTTGTACAATCCTTGTGCCCTAGTCCATGTCACTTGATGTAAGCTTTCCCGACAAATATCACCTCCAAGCTTTAGCTTTTCCCCCAACTAATTGTTAGACCTTTTTATAGACAGGTTTAAATGCACATCTGTGTTACTGAGACACAGACATCTAAAAAAATAAATAATAAATTTGGATTTTTTGCCAGGCAAGCTGCACCGTCAGTCATAGGTTGTGCTCATAGAACTTGATTTAATTTCTTGGATCTCTATTGGCAACTTGTGGGGTGAGACTGCATTTCTCACTTACATCTCCCCTTGATGTGATCACACAATTCCACAATGAAACATGGGTTGTCTTCAGTGAGGAAATGGACCCATTTTGCCCGTATTCCCCCTAAGAAGCCCATCTAGAAAGACTTCCAAATGAATTAGTTGTCCTTT